TTTTTTTTCTGATCAGAGGATGTTGTGATGAGTTGTTGAGCAGGGTAGGGATGTACCTTCTCTGATACAGAGACACAGGAAGTCCAGTGTTATAAGTATGAGCAGGATGAATCCCTCCTGCTTCCTTTGTCTCATTCACATGTAATCCAACACTGCTCGCCATGGAGGGATGTTTCACGTAGCTCAGGGGAACAAACGGACGCAATCCATCGTGGTGCTAATTAGAGACGTCTCAGTTTTATTGGCCTGAGAAGGACCGGATACCGTTGTGATGACGTCAACTCTGGTCGGCGTACGTGCTCGGGGATCTATTCCTCATCAGATATCCGATAACTAAATATAGCGATAACGCCCCTGAGGGTAGTCTTAACAACATTAATGGGTGCAACTGTGATGCATCGCCGCAGCACCTACAATAACAGTAAAAGAATGTCCTCTGGGGGAGTTTCAGCATTTATGGAGCAGTTACCGATGCATGCGGCCTGAATAAAAAGTATTCTTTACAATCATCAGTATGGTGAACACGTCTCGAGCACCTGTTGATTGAATAGAGCAATGCCTCAAATTTATTCTGAACATTTTTTATTTTCCATTCCAGCTGTTCACAGCTGCAGTAAGACTCTACCGGCTTCTACCACATGGATCACAGATTCATTTAAAGTATTGATTTAATTAAGTTTCTTTTTTAATTTCCTGTTCTGAACACAGTAACGTTTTGTCTTTTTTTTTTTACCATATATTTACTGAAATTCTAACTTAATCACCAGAAGCATTGAAGACTGACATCATAGCCCCCCCACACACACACACACACACAGTTAATTAACAGGTGAATTCTTGGAAAAAGCAGTGCAGGAATGGTAGTAAGTGCTTGACACCAAATATGGAAAGAGACAGAAATAAAATAACTAATCATGAATCAACCTAAATGAATCACAGGTAAAAGCTCAAACTGTTATTAAGAGTGAAGAATCATGTTCAGACCCACATAAAGCACCTGTCAGAAGTAATTACAATATTCAAAGTGGGTGCACTAATTATGGAGTGCTAGTTTGCCAGATGGATGATGTATTGAATATATTAAAAATGCATTGCCAAATTTGTAATGTAATATAATCATTTGTTTTGTATTAAGAGTGCCTAATGAAAGCAGACATTTGTATCATATTCACTTGCACTGCTCATATTCAGTGTTAAGATGTTTAAGTCAGAGGCAAGAAGACGTGATGCAAATGAATTGTTTTGGATGGTGATGTTTAGCTAACCGCTAACAGAACTACCAGCACACACTGCTGTGTCTCGCCTCGACTCAGCCGCAAAAATACATGATTGCTGCTTGAGGTTAGTTGGAGTTGCTGCTACTGTGTCAGGCTGGTTTTCAGGATTTGCTGCCAGCGTCCCGCAGATCACTCGGGGTCATAATTCCGGTTTTCAGAGTTTCGACGGGCGCCAAAAGAAGTTTTGACAGAAAATATTTAAATGCTGGGAGCGCACAGACACGTGCATGAGGCGTGTTACTATGGGATTGCTGTACCACCCTTTATAAGTGACATAATGACTTGACTGCGAACAGGTGAATGTGTCACACCACTTTTGATCCTTGATGGCAGATGTTTATAAAAAATGACGATGGACTTGTTATGTCTATTTCTTTTATTGCGTGACGGACTGATGGATAGATGGAATAAAGACTTCAGGAAGCGAGTTTCCATAAGCTGCTGTTTGTTTGCATTCCAGTCACGACTGGAGAAGATGGAGGTTTCTCGGCTGAGACGAAGCAAAGTTTCCGACCGGAGTTCCCAGGCTTGGCTTAAAAGGATTTCAACACCCAGCAGTGAGGAGGCTACTGTGAATCAACACTTCTCACAGCTATACTGCCTTTATTATTCCTCCAGAAACATGTAAATAATTCCATTACAGCCAGTGTCTCATTCCTCATTTGATGGCTTGATGAATGCGTCAGAGGATGTCCTATTGCTGGATGCTGTGTGCATTCATGGAGGGAAAAAAAAGTGGCTTTCATTATTTGTATATCACACATATATTGAAATGTCATACAGACTACTGCGCTGCATGGGGAAAACAAGTTACATGATCAGATCAAAAATATAGTGCATTATTGGTTCCTTTGCAAGAGACATTCTCCGCTTCTCAACCTGATCTCCTCCAGGCCGGGAAAGTTTGGGAAGACTTCGCGTCAGAGTGATTTACATTCACATCTGTATTTCTCCCTCGAACATGCGAGTCTTTTTGTTACGTAAAACGATTAAACAAAGTGAAATTTCTTTTCCCAGAGACTCAATGCGCTCCATTCCCCTGGTGGACTGTGTAATTACAAAACCCTCATTAGATTATGAAACTATACAACATATGGTGAGAGGAGGAGATTCCTTTGATGTGCTCTTGTAATGACTGCAGCAAAAAGAAGAAGAAGAAAAAAAGAAGAAGAGAGAGAGAGAATTGCCTGCCTTTGCTTCATTTGAATCTCTTGAAAGAAATCAAAGCGTTGAAAGAGAGGTTCTCTGTGTTTTGCAGCCCCCCACCCACGGACACTTCTCCGCCTCCTCTGAAGTGACTCAGACACCAACCGGGAGTCTGGCATTGACCCCAGAAATGTCAAACTGTTTGGACACACCGAGGCCAGCGGTGTCGCAGCCTTTTGATTCGTGGTAGAATGTTTGTCGTTTTCTTTGCCAAAGGACGCCTTCGGTGAAGAAGAAGAAAGCTTGATGTTTGAAGTCGAAACGTCACGAAAAAACATGAGAAACGGCGCTTCAGGCAGCGCTCGTCTTCTGTTCCTCGGTGGAACACTCTTACACAGGCTCGCTGTTTGGAGGAGGATGGCAGGCTGGGAAACAGAGTCGTTTCAGTTTGACAGACGCAGACAAGCGACAGTGTTTACAGCGAGCAGGCGACGTTACTAAAGGAACACCGAGGTCTGTTTAGAAACCTGAAGAAACAAGAGAAATAGCTCTTTCCCAAGTTGTCTAATTTGTCCGTGTCAGTCAAGTGTCTGCAGCTGAAGAACGTCCTGATAACACTACGGCCTATGGACGTTGTGGAAACTTTTTTTTTTTCTTGTGATTTCCCGAAAGAGAAGCATTTATAAATTGTGTCAGCAATGCAACAAAAAAGCATGGAAAATCCTCAGCAGTAATCTGGAGCAGCGCTTCTTAAGCTGTGGGTTGAGATCCAAATTGACTCACAGGCTTGTTGCTGGTGGGTCCCTTTATGGCGAGGATATGAAATTTTTTAATAAGCCCATTTCCCAAAGCAAGGGGAAGCTAATATCTCACCGGGGTCCTCGGCTAAAAACATTTAAGAAGCTCTCATCCAGACAACAAAGTGATATGTAATGTCGGGACATTTGTAGGTGAAATAGTGTCATGAACTACATATTCATTTCTGAGAGGATCTTGTCTTGAGGGCACCTAATCTTAAAGTTGCCAAACATAGTGTTCCAAACTAAAAAAATGTCGAGAACCGGTAATGCATTCCTGAAGCCAAAACTGGCTCCCGTTTTCTCCGAACTAACTACAGACTTGCTGTCAAAATACAATGTGTATATTGCTGTAATGAAGCATCAGCTTGTCATTTTGGAAGATTGTTTCATTTTTTTTAAAGCAAAAAAGATTGGCCTCAGAATGGGTCAGCGTGATGTTAACAGATGGTGCTCTTGTCGTGGAAGGCAGGGTGAAATAAAAAAAATTTAAAAGACGGAATTTGAAAGATTTTCACAAGAAACCAGCAGCGATGGATGTGTCGCAGGGCTGTCCATTTGAAAATAAAGTCACTATTTCGCCTGCTGTTTTACATCAAAACGCTTCACTTCCCTGCACTGTGTGATTTCACCTACTGCGATAACGCAAGTCATGGCAGGCCCTTTTTTTCAGAATTGCTGACTAACTTTGGCTGTTTTTTATGTGATAGGTTGAGCATCCGTCATGAGTGACTAGTTTTGTAAAGGGGACTCAGAGATGACAGATGAGCAGCTAATTGAATCACATTCAGTCATCAGGCGACTCAAAACCTTTTCTTCAGCTGTCGGGGTCTGAAAATTAGAGATTTGTAAATCCTTTTAAAAATGGGCTTGCACTGTTTTTATACGGGCAATATAAGTTGTCCACAGATGTTAGAAGATGGGAGGAAGTAATCATGCAACACACATTCAGCAACACAGCAAAATAACTGAAAGAGCCAAAGCCATGACCTTTCTATATAAAGCAGTCCAGCCAACAACACCACTCAACTAAACCTGCTTGTTTTGCCTGTAAAGGTTTGAGGTTTGTAATTAAACTCTGGCTATGAGCCATGGTTTCACATGTGTGAAACTCATTGTTGAGAGAGTTGGATTATAATGAATGGGAAGGCGGGGTCAGATCAACGAATGGAAGCCCAAAACATGGGCTAAACACTGGCTGATGGTACGTTTTTACTTTGCTAGTATTTTTTGAATTGTAGTATTGTAGACATTGTGATTAACATAAACAATAGTACTTAGAGCAGAACAAAGAAATCAAGAATTTAAAGTCAACCCAAACCCCATCTTAAACCAGTGGAGTAGCCCTATTTCATCTAAAATCTGAGTTAAGACTGGGCCTGAAACATACATACATACATACATACATACATACATACATACCTCCAGCCATGCTAGCAGCTCTGTGAGGCACAGCGGTGTTTCCGAGCTCAAAGCCAACATCAGCATGCTAACATCAGAGGGTCTGCAGCACATGTCATGGCAATCTGTCCAATAGTTTTTGAAATATTTCACTCAAATTTACAAATAAAGACCTTCTGGTGGTGCTAGAGAAGAAATCTGGGCATCACCAAAGTCATTAAAACTCATCCTAATGGGACCATTACAAAATGTCATGATAATAAAACCAACATTTGGACCAACGAGCAGATAGACCAGCATGACCATCCCTAGAGCCACTATTGTGGCTAAATACTAGCCATTCATAGCATATGCTAAAAAGACACAAGGCTTTAGTTACACAACCATAGTTTATTACTGATGTCATCACTTGCACAGACAAAGGAAGTGTCAGCGATACCTACTGAAAGGTGATCAGCAAATCATATTTGAGTTTCGGGAGCATTGTTGCCCAGTGACCAGACGCCGTGTGTTTAATTTACACTGCTGTTGTCTAGAATTTGAACTCCAGAGCTGTGATACAAAAACAAAATCTGGCAGAAGCGGCAGGAAATGCCAGAGTGATTTTCAAAGGAAAAAAAAAAACACGACTGGTTCCAACTTTCTGTCTGTTTACAGCTGGTTCTGATCAGTTTATACCATTTTACAGCGCTGGTTAAGTTCAGCAGGCCTCATAAAGGGTTGTAGTTTTCAAATTGAATTAGGTTTCTTTGACCCCTTCTGTGTTATGGCAAACGGTATGAATGTAGTTGTATATTTCTTTGAAATTCACCCTGAATATCCGCAGGTCAGCCACATATTTTCATCTAAGTCTGAACTCACGAAACTACACGTCATTAGAGAAGAACGCCACAATCGACTAATAAAACAAAAATCACATTTTGTATTGAGTATTTGCGATGCTTACAACAAACTGTCCTTCTTGCTCACCCTGGTCCACTTGTGCTGCAAGTCCCCTGTAATGGACGTATGACTCTAGAAACGAACAAACGGGCAACGGTCAGCGTTGCGTTCCACTACAAGCAGTACAATGTCGGAGAATAAATCCTGTCGTCCAGTAAGGCTAATCATATGGAGTCCTTCCAAAAGAAGAGCTGCTTGATGTCCATAGAGTTCAAGAAGACGCATTCAGAGTTTTCCAAAGATTAATTACACTCCAGAAGAAAGGAAGTCTCTATTTACAGAAAGGTCCTTTGAATTACTTCTCTTTTGATGATCCGACAAAGACCAGAAGTGTTGTTTCGCCTGTGGAAGAAAGAAATAGTGTTAAAACGAAGTCAAAGCCATCAAAGCAGTGGTAGCATCAAAACGCAATGGAAGAAAGTAACCCCCACAAGCAACTAGGGGTGGAGGGAAAAAATCGATTGTTAGCTGCATCGCGATTTGTTCTTGAACGATTATGACTGAAAACTAACTAAGCTAGGATAAATACGAGCAGAGGTTTGGTGATGGCGGCTGAGCTTGAGCAGACTGAATATGGATACAATCCGACTGGCACCCTCTGGCTTAAAAGCTAACGTACGGGAGCACTTCTTCTTCTTCCGCCCAACTCTGAAAGGGCGAAGCGAGTCACGAAGCAGATTGCAACTTTTTTTTTTTTTTTTGCAAGGATTTGCTTCCCTACTCAGTCATCGGGAACCAGAGCTTTTGCGCCATGTTGCACACTTTGGAACCGAGACACGACATTCATTTCGGTATTTTTACGGACACGGCGATACTCTCCATCCAAACCAAAGCTAAAGTCATGGAGTCGGGGTAGGATAGAAGTAACACGCTACAGAATATAGTGTCTACTTTCTCACTGTAGTTTTTACCACATGTTCCAGAAAGTGCTATTTTTGTACGAGAGCTGAATGCTCATTTGTTTGAAGAGACGTCTACACTATTTATTTGTGAATAAGAGCAGCTTATGACTCAAAACATGCTGGATTCTGTTTTTTTACTACAAGGATGCTGCTACAGGCCCAACTAATTTATTTTCCTGTTGGTTCTCTTTGCAATGCTTGGAAATCTCCTCTATTTTTAATTGGGAATCATTACAAATATGCTATGTTTTAAGAACAGCAGATCAAATAAAAAAGAAATCATGTACAGAAAAATGTTGATGCATCAACATGAATCGATAATTGTTTAATAATCAAATCGTAGCCCTCTGAATCGGAATCGAATGAGGTGCCTAGAGATTTCCACCCCTACAAGCAACACTGAATATGTTAGTGTCCTTTTCATCTATATTGTACATGAACGCCTTCTTCTCTCTATCTGAGTAATACAACGCCATGGAGCTGAGCACTTGACGTAAGCAGAGACTGATACCAAAAGAAAAGAGCATGATGTACAGTAATAAAAACGACAACTTTATCAATAGAAAACTCAAGCGAGGAGACACGAGACACGCCCCCGCCCACACCGATTGACATGTCAAAGATTTAGGCGAAAGCAGCTATAAAATCAGATGCATTATTCCACCTCTGTCGGCTTATTTTTAATGTTTGCCACGGTGAGAAAACTCATTATCTTCAGAGGAAGACTCCGGCTAAAGGTCTAAAACCCCAGGTCTTTTGAGGATATATACTGTAAAAGAGTTGGATAAATCAAACTGCATGCTGAGCATTTTGCTTTTTGCAGACGCTCAGCAGTAGTTTATCATATGTATAAGCCATGGGGTCACTGAAATCAGGAGGCTTTATCTCAGGCTAGGCGATTGATGGAATTTGATTTTCTATTACAATTTTTGGCTCCCCAGGATTATTGGAACAAGACAGCCGAGATCAAATGACAATTGTGCCACAATTCCATTTCGCAGTGATATTTTTGTTTTGTCGATAGAAATGGAGCATCCACTATTCAGACCTCTCTGATGTCAATAAGACCAAAAAAATCGCAGCTGTAGGTTTATGACAATGATGACTATGATGTCTTGTGTGTGAAGTTGCTCTGTCAGATATCTCCGATAGTTCATGATGCTAGCAGGAGGAAAAGAAAAAAATCATCTTAACTGACTGAAAACTGATTTCATTCTACACGGGTCGCACTGTGCCGTGCAGCCCTTCTGTCTGGGTGAAAGACAGTCAAGTGTAAAGGTCAAGTTGAGGAATTCTCTCAGATTTAATATCCCTCCAGAACCTCATAAAAGACTTATATTGGCTTCGTGTATCAGCACATCGATCTATCAGTTAGACTGTGATGCAGTATTCAGGGTGAGGGATGCTGGGGAGTCGGGTTTGTGCACCACACCGAGGTTTTCTCTCTCTCTCCCCCCTAGTTCGATGCTGTCAGGTACTCTGAAGACCTCCGTTCTCCTTGAGAGTAAATTGCCTGTCATGAAGCCCAGTGGCTGACTGGCAGCTCCTCTGCTCCTCCAAAAGTACATTCTGGAAAAGACTCTCGAGGAACATAACATAACAACCTTCATAACGACGTCCGCTATCGATTTCCAGCCGTCCGACAGGCGCCACGTGGGTTTGACGGACCGGGGGAAAGCCGTCGCCGAACTTCTAAGGCTCCATTATCGATGCTGAACTTTTGATAGGAGACCGACAGCTCCGACAGCCCAGTGAGATTAATTCGCAAACGGGTCGTATGGCGAAGAACAGGCCCGGAGCAGTTGCCGGTGCCGCGCGGGCACAATATCGTATAAATTATCCTCTATTATGCAGAAAAAAAGCAAAACAATCCAAAAACCATCAGGCCATCATTTGACGAGAAAACCTGCATAATCATATCAAACCCAGGGTAAAGGGATGCCATAAATTTCAGTCGTAGCAGTACTTCGCAGGCCTCTGTACAGGCTGTAATAAATTCTTCCCTTTACGGAGTCATTTACATTCTCAGCTGTCACTGTGATTAATGTGGGACTAATTTGAGAATAATTCCACGCTGAAAAGACAAAGAGCGGAGAAGAAAACGTCTTCTGAGATGGATCTTCGCCGTGTCTCACTTCACGAGAGGGTGGCGGGTGGGAAGGTGGGGTTCATTAACAGTATCTGAGTGACTGTCTGAAACAGTGCTAAAAATACTGAGAGGAAAACTAAGTCTTCGGCGGGTGCTGCGTTCATATAATTGCTGGCTGACAAGTTCTAATTTAACTGGCAGAGGATTCATTTCCATTCAGTGCCTGAAGTAAGGTTAGCTGAAAGATTTAACACAGCAGGTGCACGGGCTTGTGTTTGTGTAATTCAGCCGTGTAATTGGCATGGCGCAGTGTCCTTCTCAGCAATATGTTTTGTGCTGTAACTACAGAGCCTGGGATTGTCATAGTATGGCCATTTTAAAGCGGCACTCGGCAACATTTTGAAGTGAGAATCCGCCTGTAAAATCAGCGAAGACAGACAGCAGGGATGCTGCAGATTCACCTTTTGCCCAAATTAAGCTTTACCGTCGGGGCTACTGGGTGATTCCCCCCCCCCCACAAGGGGAAGTCAAAGGCAAGATGTCACTCAGCACTAATGTGAATGGTAGCGTAGGAATGAAGTAGATTAGCATCAAGGAGAACATAGGATAGAAGGAGGAGAAAACCTTCTGTATTCATTTGTCTGGCTCAACTGTCCATGAAAACCTGCGTCTGTTACAAACACACATACGAGGCAAAAGGCACATTGAGTCAAAGCATCAGTCACTGAATATTCACAGTGGAGTTGCACAAGAAAACTTTGCACCTTGACTTCCCCAAGTCGCAAAGGGAGAACACTTTTGATGAGTTTTGCGGAACTCCTAATTCTGATTGTTGAAGGCAAGGCCAGATGAAAATGATATATATGTTCTACTCTCTTACTTGGTTTACTCTCACTGCATCTCCCGACAGAACGCCACAGTTGAATTTCAGCCTGCATGCACGTTTTCTTTCAGCCTAACACTGTTGAGACGGAGCAGCTGTTAATGGTAGCGAGAACGAGTTCCTCCTGCCCTCGGCGAATTGCAGAGATCAAATGAGAGGAAATAGTAAATGAAGGCAAAACACGGCAAAGGGAAATTCATTTTTATTTCCCTTTGTAAAAATCCCAATGGCTTCTTGTTGGGTGCTAATTTCCGCGTCGGCCTGAAAAATGCCTCCTGACAGCACTCTAAACCTGACACTCCCTTTACCGATGGATAGAGAGAGTTCATCAGATCTGTATAATTGAGAAACTGACTTGCTCCCTCAGTAATATACATTTACAAATATCTGGTCACGGTAGATTGAGTTTGTTAGACCCTGAAGACGAGACATTACATGAAACGTATGCAGAGATGACATTCCTCTCAGAAGTTTGCACATACTACCTAACTACCGTACTATTTAGTATGCCAGAAGAAGAAGAAATTCAAAGGTTGCTCTACTACTGTACATCTGGTCGCATTTTTGCAGTATGTAAGCCAACATGCTTTTCTGGCTATTCTGACCCACAATCCTTTGCGCAGCAGATATATGAGCAAGACGGTCAAAGTTCAGTGGAATATTTTCCACCACACATGTTATGAGGAAATAATATGTCCCAATTAAATGCATACTGCATGCAACAGCAAATAAGGCCAGCTGCTGTATGTACTAAACGGTTTGTTTTACTTCTTTATTTTACATTTATTTGCATTTCTAAAGCGAGATATGTCATGACTTCTTATTCAAGTGAAGAGTTTAGTTTTGTCGTTACAATGTAATAACCCATGCTGTGAGTTGGGACCTTGTTGTGTTTTTCTTCTTTTTTCTTACCTCCCAGGATTTCTGTTGCAAAAGGCACTGTTACTACCGGCCGCCACGTGGGGGCTGTAAACGTACAGATTTTAACGCTGCAGCTCAACCTCTTTGCGCGTCGTAACTCACAGACAAACCCGAAAGCCTGCCGTGTCCTGGGACTTGTAGTCGCCGGTCGCTGCTTTGTTGCCTCTGTGAATTCTCAAAGTGTTTCCAGTGAGCATGAATGCATTTATGACACAGAGCGATAGAGGTCAGTATAGCTGGAGGTTCCACAGGTTTATCTCAGGCTGTTTTCCCCAAAAGCTCTGCAGAGGTGAAGAAGAAAGCCCGACCCCCCTCGCTGCTTCAAGCAGCCTGCAGAAAGATTTGAAACTGAAGAAACGTGTTCCTCAAGCTGAGATCAAAGGTGTGCGAGATGAATCCGCTGGGTAATGCCGATGCTTTGAACGCGTCCGTGTTGTTGTCTTTGTGGATCGTACATCTCCTCTCGCTCTCTTCTCCGTCTCGGGTGTAGTTACACTACAGGAAAGTGTGCTTAATAATACCCTTTGCCTTGTCTGTTTTAATGAAAATGTGAGGCGACGCTATACGCAGTAAATGGTGTGCAGGCCTTCTTTTTGTGCAGTGAAGTAAAAATGAGACACATTAATGATCCCTGTTGAGAATTCCTTTGTATTTTTAAAGTAAGTATAAAACAGCTTTATTACCTGTGAAGCGTCTGACGTTACCAAAGCTGCTCTTTGTCCGCCGAAATCTTTCCAGGTCGTCCATGTAAAAGAAGACAAGAACAGAAAAGACATGTTTAACTTTCATTCTTTAGGGTCTCAGCAAGATCTGATAGTTACCAAAATCCATTTCCAGAAGACAGACAGGCTTGTCTCGGAACCCTGGACCACTAAAAGAAAAGAAATTATATATATATAGTATATCCCATTTTGAGGTCCCGACAAGTCCCTGAATCAATAGCCCTAGGCTCCAGGCTCCTGGCTCCAGGCAGGTGTGGTGCGGGCAGTTTAAATAATTAAGTACATGGGAGGGAGGCAGAAGCGAAGGCTACGGGTCGTCATAACACATGTGGGCATCGTGTTACGACGTTAAAAGCAGGTAATTGGAGTGACTAATTGGCCAGTTTGGGTGCTCAAAGTGGCCTGAAAGTGCTAAGGAGACATGGCAGCCCATTGATTAAAGGCCCCCGGGGGTCCAAGCCCAGAGTGCAAACATTAGCTGTTTTTAGGTAAAGGCAGGGCACACGAGTGCTACAGAGGCCGCAGCCGGTTGACTTTGAGGAGTTGGGACGTGTGCGAGGTTGGATTCAACAGGTCGGAATACGGTTTGGATCTTAAACTCACCTTAGTAGTTTTGATCTTGTTCCCTGTAGCACAGCTCCAGCCCTTCAGATCGGGGAGAACTTTGCATTCCTCTCCGTCAAGGCACGGATGCATCTGACACCACCACTTCTGCTCCACTATGGAGGCTGGTGGAGAGATGTAGAGGGCAAAGAGGAAATGGTCAGAGATGTCTTTGTTCACCTGGTCTGTTGGACTGTCAACGAAAGCTATTTCAAAATATTTGTTGACTTGTTTTTTTTTTTACACGATGAAAGTGAGATTAAATTCAAAAAGTTATTCTATTTTTAAAATTTAAATTAGTCGAAAATGTATCACAACTCACATATTTTATGATCTCTGTCAGTCAAACTGGTTCCTGCCGTGCCAAATTTAATATATATGATTTTTTTAATCATTATTTTAGGACATAATGCTGTGTTTGTATTTCAAGCTCACACCCATAACACCATGAGCCTGAAACGAAGCGTCTCCTCAAATACCATCACAGCCGTGTCGCAACAAGTCGTGTCACATTTTTGACAGCTGTCTCAGGTAAATGATGCAAGATTTGCTTTTTGACTGGCAACGCTCGCTTTATCTATTTTGAGTATTCAAGCGCACTCTGTTAAGAGCCTCGCACATCGACGCGTTCGAGTCGGGAACTGGAACAAGAGCTCCAGCCGTCTGGGGGGGGGGGGGGGGGGGG